GGCACAGTTGAACTTGAAAGCTATATGGGCAATCAGAAGATCAAATTTTACTTAAAAAATGTACTATATGTACCGAACACATCAAACAATTTGTTATCCATACGCCAGTTGGATAAAGACGGCAGATGTGCTAAGTTCGGCGGTGGGAAAGTGTCCTTGTACGCTAGACAAGGTCATCACATCGCAGAAGGAAATATTGATCATGGCCTATATAAATTAAATGTGAGAGCAAAATTAAAGCCTATAGCAAGAGCACATACCGTACAACGAAGACCAGCAGCCGATTGGCTGACATGGCATAAACGATACGGACATGTAGCTATTACTGGCCTTAAGAAGCTATATAATGAAAAATTAGTAGAAGGCTTTAATGTCGATGGAAGTGAACCTTCATTTGAATGTGAAGCGTGCATATGCGCGAAACAAACTAGGGAATCTTTCCCAAAATCAGTAGATGAACGAGCAGAGAAACCATGCGAACTTACGCATAGTGATGTATGGGGTCCAGCTAGGACCCAATCCATAGGAGGAGCTCGTTATTATGTATCCTTTGTGGACGATTGTTCCAGAAGGTGTACCGTTGAATTTCTAAAGCACAAAAATGAGGTGTCAACAAAGGTAAAGGAATATATTGCCTACCTTGAACGACATAGAAATGAAACACCCAAAGCGATTAGGGTAGACAATGGTACTGAATATATCAATCATGAGCTGATAACATGGTGCAAAGAGAAGGGAATAGACTTACAAACCACGGCACCATATTCACCACAACAGAATGGTGTATCTGAGAGACAGAACCAAACGCTAACAGAATTAGCAAGAGTGATGATAACCGATAGAAACCTACCAGAGTTCTTATGGGCTGAAGCAGTTGCACACGCCGCATATGTGAGAAATCGGGCACCGACCCAAGCATCAGATCATATAACCCCTGAAGAAGTATGGAGTGGTAAAAAACCTGACGTGTCATACTTACAAGAATTCGGCGTACCTGTTTATGTTCTCCAGGAGAACGCCAATCAGTCGAAAATGCAGCCTAGGTCCTTGAAACAAGTCTTTGTCGGTTATGTGGATGGACCGAAGGCAATAAGATACTATGACGCCCGAACATGTCAGATACGAGTGAGCAGAAATTATAAATTTATAAGCTCACCAGAAAACTCTCCACAAAGCGCTAGTGATGTGCAGCGCGAGGGGGAGAATGATATGGGAGAATTAGACGCGCAGACATCAGGGGGAGCTGACGCGCAATCACCTATACAAGAACACTCCAAAGATGAACGGCAATCAGATATACGAGAACACTTACCAGAAAACAACTCAGATAAGGATACATCCGCAAGTAATAAGCGGAAAGAACCGCCTGAGACACAAGAGATGCCCAGAAGAACTAAAAGACAGACGGTTAGAAAAGACTACCGCAAGATGAATGAACCAGACTTCGAGGATGACGAGAATAATAAAGCTAAGTCATATGAAGTCAAAAACGGTGAACTGCCATTGCCAGAACTCACAGAGGAAGATATAGTCTTGATAGCGATGGTAGAAGGAGGACACATTGAACCCAATGAGCCAAAGAACCTAAGAGAAGCACAGGCGTCAATTGATTGGCCAAAATGGGAGGAAGCGATACGAGCCGAACTTACCCAGCTAAACGAAATGGGTACTTGGGAATTGGTAGAACCACCCGAGAATAGGACACTCGTCAGAAACAAATGGGTCCTGGTTAAGAAAACAAATAAAGAAGGCGAAGTTATTAAATATAAAGCAAGGTTAGTAGCGAAAGGATACTCACAAATTCCCGGTATGGACTACACAGATACTTTCACACCGGTAGTACGTCTTGAGTCGATTCGATCGACAATGTCTGTTGCAGCTGCCCTAGATTGGGAAGTTGAGCAGATGGACGTAAAAGGAGCGTATTTGAACGGCACCTTAACAGAGGAGGTGTACATGGTCCAACCGGAAGGGTATGAAGACGGTACAGGAAGAGTGTGCTGACTTCGAAAGACCTTGTATGGATTGAAACAATCTGGACGTGAGTGGAACATTGAATTAAATAGTCGTCTAACAAAGATAGGATTTAAACGTACCGAGTCGGATCCATGCGTCTATATAAGACAGACCGAGACAGGCACACAGATCATAACAGTATGGGTAGATGATCTACTCCTGTTTGCTAATAATCCCGATCTTATGAGTCAGTTAAAGATGCAGTTAAAAGAGATATTGGACGTTACCAATCTAGGAGAACCTAAGAAAATAGTAGGAATTGAGATAACAAGAAACCGTGACGAGAAAACAATTAAGTTGTCTCAAGCACGGTACATAGACTCAATCCTGCAAAAATACGGTCTCCAGAACTACAATGCAGTAGGTATGCCCATGGATTTGAAAGTCGTATTAGAAAAAGAAGATACCGACACAAAAGGCGAGCGTAGTAATAGTTACGCCTCATTAGTTGGATCTTTAATGTATCTTGCAGTGGCGACACGTCCTGACATCGCATATGCGATTCAGAGATTGAGCTCTTTTACCGCAAATCCTGGACTAACACATTGGTCAGCGGCAAAACGGGTATTAAGATATCTAGCAGGGACTAAAGACCTCGGAATTAAGTATCAAGGAACCGATTCCACAAACGCCAAAGTCAAATTTGAGGGATGGACAGACACAGACTATGCTAATGACATCCGCGATAGAGTCTCAGTATCAGGATACGTATTCAAGCTAAGTGAAGGAGCCATTACCTGGAGTTCCAAGAAACAAAATGCCGTCTCACTATCCTCAACAGAGGCAGAATATACAGCAATGGCATATGGGGCGAAGGAAGCAGTATGGCTTCGATACTTGTTTGAAGATTTGAATTTGGCCCGAGAAGGACCAACAATCCTATATGGAGACAATATGGCAGCGTTAGCAATAGCTCAAGACCCTCAATATCATGCGAGATCAAAACACTTTGATGTAAAAAATCATTACATCAGGAATAAGATTCGCAAGAAAATAATACAAGAGACATACTGTCCTACAGAAAGGATGATAGCAGATGTACTCACAAAACCGCTAGCTAAACCATCACATCAGAGACTCTCCAACATGATGGGCATGTCTCCAGATTGAGGGGGAGTGTTGTGACATAGCAATCAGCCGACATGGTTCGTGCACTTCCTAGCGGAGTTACGAGAGCATCTGAGTGGCGGAGTAGTTAGTTGATATAATAGATAAACGGAATCAGCCGAATATATTCTGCGCGCCACGAACTCCTATTATCGTCGCTGTTCCTACTAAGCCCGGAACCTAAATCTTAAGACATTGCATAGCAGAAAATAACACGTCTGTCACGAATCACGATCAGAAACGAAGTAGCGTCTTGTTGGCTCCATCACACACATCGAGAGAGATCCATGAGCTAGCGCTAATAGCCAGCTTTTGAGGCCAACGTTAGACAAACAGATTCAAGCTGCGTTTGAATCCTGGTTGCACATACAGCGACCTCACTTCATCATAGGCACAAACCAAGTCATTACAACAATCTTGAGATGTTCTGCAAGTTTGTGTCTCTGTCATGCACTGACAGACATATTTTTGATTAGATGCTGCTAAAACAACAACGGCGAGGAAGGGGAAACTCATTTTCTGTGCGAGGCGACATGGAACCTTCTGAAGGGGGTCTCGAATGATATCCCCGAGGATGGGGGAACACTATTGGACGACGACCAGCTTTGATATCCTGCATATACTTATGGGCATGATTCTGATCGGTTTGGCAGAATTGTTATTGCTGTCAGATGGCAGAAATTTCGGTAGAACCTGCAGGAGTGTGTTCGATTGATTACAACCATTTCATAACCTGTCGTCATAACCTGGAATCCTATTGTGTTAGGGGTGTAATTCACGATATGTGAGTTCCCCCGCATGAATTACTGATTTGACCTGTCTCTGAATCCATCTCTTCGCAGCGCTCCATTCTTTGCAATCCGGAAACCCAAATTGCTCCACTTATGCTATTTGTGTGCCGCCAGTAAAGAACACTCGTTGCATTCTGTGATCTGATGTTCGCTTCCTCGGTGGCTGTGATGAGGCTAGTACTTCCCTTCGGTGTGTGCCATCACAGTAATTGATTGATACTTATTCACTACACACTAGCTACTGTAAATCTTTCATCTCCCGTATGACCGTACAGTAATCCATACCGTACCGTCGAGGACACCGTATCATAACACTCGAAAGATCGCGAAGGTGAGACCTTGTCCGTTGTCACGCGCTCATAGGCCCAGTCCGAGATGGTTTTATTCCCCTTGTTTCAGAAACGATATAGAGCAGGGGTACAGCATGGTTGAGGTGTCATAGACAAACACTCCGGGACTCCCGGAAAATCTAGTGAATCGGAACAAGTCGGGTGAGAAACATACAAAGAAGGTGCCTTTTATGTTCGACTAAGCTAGTGTTGTTGGCAGAATGAGATATTTCTGCTAGTGGCAATTGCTGGCAGACAATATGATTTTGCCGACTTCTGCCATTTGCCAATTGCCGCGAAGCCAATTCCTTTCTGCCCTCTGCACTAGGTTACTAAGCCCTCCTCCAATAATTTGAACGTGGAAGTCGGGGATGGCGGTCCGACATGCGATGGCTTTTCGCTTATAACTTCAACTTGTAAAAGGGTCATTTTGGGTGGTTACTGGCCGTGTTAGGTAGGCGCCAGGAGAATTGCACCCTCAGCTTAGTTCTTGTTTCTATTTAGGATTGCGCCTGATCGGGTTCTTTGATCTTCCCTATTTCCGTTGTGCCCCTTCGAAGAGCTGGTCACAATGATGCCATCACTCGGAAGCTGGAAGGATGGTGATCAATTTAGGGAACCGCACGGGCACGGGTAGTACGGCTGAGTACGGGTTTAATCATGGCTAGGGTTGCTGCCTCAAGGTTTCACTGGCCGCCTCAAATACTTCATGTACCGGGTGTGCATAGCCCGTCCCCCACCTTCAGCTTTATCGTCCATGTCCACACCTCTCCCTAGTGATGAAACTGCAACGCAGGCTTCCAAAAGCGCTTTGCGGCAGCACATCGAAAGCACTGGCAATCCTAGTCATGCCGACCAGTTAGATTCGTCAGATTTTCCCGAGGGTGGTGTAACAGCTTGGGGCACAGCGCTAGGAGCGTAAGTTTTTTTAAAATTCCTATCGCTGCACACTCATCATCAAACTTTGTCAAGCTTTTTGATACAATTCTGTGGTGCCGGGTAAAATTAACTCAGCATTTATGGACCAATTTCGCTAATCACGTTCCAGATATACCACCTCCTACGGCGTCTTCCAGGGTAAGGTCCGGTGGATTGCTTTACAGAACGAGCTGATCATCACGATACACAGACTTTTATACTCAAACCTACCTGACAAATTCTACACCATCTGAAATCGCGTCAGTGAGCTTTAGACTTGGCCCGTCTCGTTACCGCTAGTGTTTCTGACTTACAGTGGTATAGCTGGATAGGAAGTGTTAATGCGTTTTTGACATTCTCAGTCGGTCTCTTGTCAGGAAGGTTGCTTGACCGGGGTGCATTGTATGTGTGCTGGCATTTCACATAAAAGTATCCTTGATCATACATCCAGCTATCATGTGATGAAAATCGGCTGTTTCCTCCAGTGTCTCTTCCTCTTTATGCTGTCACTAGCGAAACCGAATGGATATTATCAAGCAAGTCTGGTTCTTGTCACCGCATAACTCAATTGAAAACAATGTTAGATTTTCCTTTCTCAAGGTATCGGTTCCGGGTTTGCAATAGGCCTTACGAATGTTCCCTCAATCGCCGTGGTGTCTCATCACTTCCAGCGACGTAGAGCTTTCGTGATGGGATTAGTCGTTGCAGGGGTGTCGATGGGTTCAATCTTGCACCCAATTATGCTCAATAACCTTATCAATGGAAGACTTGGCTTTGCAAATGGTGTCCGTGCTAGTGCGGCCATGATTGGCAGTCTGCTTCTCATAGCATATTTCCTGATGCACACAAGGCTTCCACCGCAACCCAAGGCCGTTAGCTACACTCGTGTTTTACAAAACTCGTCGAGAGATTATGCTTATATTTGTGCGTGTTTAGGGTGAGTGAGTCAACATTTGATGACATGAACCTTCAAACGGTTTCTACTGCCTAGGATCGCTGCTTTCGAAGTCGGATTCTTTTTCGTGGCATTTTATCTCCAATTAGACTCCCGTTTGCACGGTGTAAGCAAAGAATTTTCGTTTTATTCGGTGCGTGTCCCTGCGATCAGCCGACAATGAGTTACTTAGTACTAGCTTAACAGCTTACAATTTCCAATACTAGTTCTTTCATCGGAAGACTTGCCACTGGTGCTGTAACTGCCTACGTGGGCATCCCGAATACGATCATCGGCTGCTCATTCATATCATCCGCTATAATATTTTCAATGATCGGCTTGCGCTCGTTGGTCAGTGTGGCACTGATAGGTATTAGCTATGGTTTTTTTTCTGGAGCTAGTACGTAGGCTCTTGACACACTTCCAACGCTCACTAAATGTCAACTCAGCCGTAGGATTAATTGGCCCGTTGACATCATATCTGACTCCTGAAATCTCAGATATTGGGTAATTACTTGACGCATGGCTTTGGTTCACGCTGACAAGTTGTTCAAGCGCGCGAATGGGAATATCGTTCACAATGACTGGTAAGTCCGTGGGTTTAAATCCGGTGTGCCACATCCTGACCTGTGTCCACAGGCATTGGATCACTCTTAGGCATGTGTGCCGCTGGCTTTTCTCGACCGTCACTTACCTTCGGTTTAGGTTCTCCGATTTGCGGAGCTGCCCTGACCTCGCATTACATCTGGTGGAGGCCTGTTGTCTTAGCTGGGGTAAGCGAATCATGTGAAATAACGTTTTTTGGTTTCTGGCTGACAAGCTATCTAGAGCCTCGCGGCTAGCGGAAGTATTTTGTTCGCATCCATGCAGATGATATTGAAGATCCGTCAAAAGACTGCAAGCAAGGAAACTGTTGAAGTTTGATCCATGCCGCATGTACAAAAATCGTATTTATTGTTCATGCCCTCCCCTATTGACCGTATATGATACACATGCATGCTTGTACTTGTACCGATCATCTAGTTTACGTTGGCATCTATGGGATGGAATGACTGGACTGTTGTGTTCGGTCACTGTGGCGACTTCTTCTGTCTTTTCTCCGGCTCCAGAGTCCTCAGTATTCCCGTTCCTTTTCCTTTCCTTCCTCTCATCCATCCATGGTCCTGCTCCGCTAAGGTCGCATCCTCCTTCACCCTCGCAAGTGCACGTACCTCCCAGTATTTCGGGTAGGTTTTCCGCATCTACCACATCGAGTAGAATCTCTCTATAGTTCGAACCGAGAATGTCGACCTTCTCTACAGTCTCTTTTGCCAGCCAGGGCTTGATGATTCCCCAAATAAAGGTAAACGAGGACGGCGCATTGATTATCAAAAGTTGACCCATTCTAAGACCACGAGTAAATCAACGCGTGACTTAAACAACGCTATATAATATAGGACGCACGTGTCAGGAAAATAATCCTGTGAGATCTGGAATGAGGCTTGTGCCAACGATTTCACTTGCCAAAACTGTGATAGCCTGGACGAACGTCAATTTATCGGCGGGCAGAAAGCACCAACTTGAACGACGAACCCAAACCCTTTAAGGTCCACAATTACAATCGATTGGTGAATACGCTTCCCTGCAGCACGTGATGCAGCTGGAAGCACTTCGCGGGTAAGGGAATCTGCGTTTACAACAATAGCCTCCCAGTGCCTCTCCGGTGTGACATGCTTGTATAACTCCGGAAGGTTTAGCCCGCCAAAGAACTGGATGTTCACAGGTCGGCCTTTCTGCAAGGCAAGAATCTACCAATAACCATAGTTCAAGGACGGCATCGAGCACACCTTGTCTGTCTGAGATGGCCATCACGATCGCTGTCATTAGGATTCTCAGCAAAAGTCCTTGTGGAGAACTTGCCTTGTGGAAATACATGGACCAGGACTTGAATATTTCTTCCCGCTCAGGGTACTATATGATAACGGAAAGTTTCTGTCAACTACGATTCACTTGAAGGAAGGACGTACATCATAAGGATCTAGTTTGTCATATAACGCATCTATCCCGTCGCCTCCGACGGTTTTCCGCCATTGTTGACAATTCTGCAACATCTTTTTTGATTCATTCAAATTGAACTTGCGTGCGCGAAGAAACCGACTGTGATGTGCACATGATGATTAGCCATGAACGGTGTTAGTTGAGTCATGGCAGTGATGTTACACATCCCGAGAGCGGGAAAAGGGCTTACAGTAGGGTTTCGTCATCCGTCCCAATAGTGTCCCCTTCTCGAATGATTTTTTCATCGAACACTTGTTTGCGGAACACTTCTAACGTCTCCTTCTGTTCTGGCGTGAGTGACATCACTGTACCGGAGTATGCCACAAACGAGGTATAGAGACAAGTGGTATATGTTAGACCGAGTACCGGAGAGAAGCCCGCGAGTCGTATTCCAAGTCGTCCTCACGTCGCCATCGACCAAGTAACCGAAGTCCCAGGCTGTTGATGAAAACTCACGATGAGTCGGAAGCTTGGTAAACGTTCCAATCACTTCAGATGTGACCCGGGTGGATTATAATTTCTCACGTGGGTGACGTAGCAATACTAGATCAATTCACCCGCAACCTGGCCAGACAGTATGAATTGGATTTTGCGAATAAATTAATAAACGATTAAACAATTTTACACTACGTTATTGATGCAACTTAAGCACTACGGTATATGCAAGTACCTCAGCGTCAGCTCATTGATCAAACAGATAAAAGTGGCCTAAGCTGGCTTGCAAATACGTAAGCAGACGGCGAGTGAGCTATAGTAAGACTATTTGCTTGCACAAGGTTTACATTTTCCTCTCAACACTCGATCTCACCTAGATATAGCCCATCACTCCGACGCGTACCTCTACTTCAGCCCCCGCAGAAATCAGACCAAAGTGAAATCCAACTATCTAAATACTGAATTCCCCTCATCACAATGTCGAAATTCGCGCCTCACCGTCGGTCAAACAATAACCCAAGGGCGACCTCTGGAACCGTTTGTCAAAAGTGCCTTGGTACAGGTGTGTGTCCTTTGGATGTTGTTGCAAAGGCAATTTGGACCGAACAAATTCACGCAGGTCATTTCATATTCGAATGCAAGTCCACGCGTCCATACGTATCCCGTCCCTCGCGGACGGAAATGCTCGAAAACCCGAAGTTACTTACAAAGTTGAAGGCAGAGGGAAAACCTTCAGTCGAAGTGCCGGAGGAATTTAGAACAAAGTACGTCGACCGACGACCTTACTTATACCGTTTGAATTTGGCTGATGCCCTTTTCTGTCACTTAGGAGTGGAACAGCAAACCGGATTTTAGCGTCAAAGGAGCAGGAACGACTGGCACTGGAGGAATCCAAAGGAAAAGCCAAGGAGGAAGACGGCAGAACTCGAAAGAAAGCTAGAAGGTTGTTTATAATTCATTTATTGACATGCCTGCGTGGGCTGATTGCTCATTGTAAACAGGTCTTCGAGGTCCTCCTCGGATAGTTCAGACTCGGAATCAGATTCAGATTCAGGATCTAGCTCATCTGCCAGCTCTGCATCAAGTTCAGATGCCTCACGTTCGGTTTCCAGAGATCGCAGCAGGAAGCGACCAAAGCGGCGAAGTTCATCTTCAGTTCGTTCAGAATCTTCATCTCGCAGTAGATCCAGAGACTGAAAAATGTCATCCATCGAACGTTCAAGACATAGTTCGTCTGTGATTTTACTGGAGTCTGTATTTATGTAGGGAACAAAATGTATGTAATGAAGTACGAGTGATCAATCGCAAACACCCACGAGAGCAGCGACCCTCGTGTTCATCAAGAGTGCAACGATGAGGCTGAAATACACACAGGATCAGCAGGTATGGGCAAGTACATATAAAATACTCACCCGTAAAGCCCCAGGACCTCCGCAAAGATCAGGATGAGGATCATGGCCACGAATACTCGTTGCTCGTGAACATATGCCCGGACGCACTGTAACCAGTAGTGAGGTTCACGCATACATTCATAGTAGCTCAAAATGCCCACCGAATCTCCGACGTAGCCAATAGCATAACCCGCAGCGATGCCAGTCATTCCACAAGAAATTCCTGCTCCCATATGAATAAAGCCTGCAGCTAGGGGATAGTTCGATGGGGTCACTACGAACCGGTCAAACCACAAAACTGTCATGCTAGGGTTATATACTTACAATTTCCTGCAATGAGAACCGATACCACTAGCCCATACACCGCAATAATTCCTGCCATAACCACAGGCACAAGCGACTATATGAATCTACAACGTGAATTCAAAGAAGCCTGGTAGAGGGCTGCACTCGCCCTCATGATCAGTTCAGGCTTGAACGTCCCCAGGCCTGCAATACCAATTCCAGCCTTTGCCGTTCCGAACGCAGCACCAGCCGCTGTATTTGTGTGCATGAGATAACATTTGAGAGCTCAGAGTCGTAACGTACTGCTGAAAATCATCTACGGAGGATTGTTATGATGAACTGAACACAATATTCCGACTGCGGTGACTTACAGCTGAAGCAACACCTACAAAGCCGAAAAATGGTGCATATGGTGGGCAGAGTTCTGCTGGCATTTCAAGGAAATAGGTGGTCACTAGATGAGCGAAAAAAGAATCTGCGTGGACGTGACGAAGAGCTACCACCGCAGGCGAAGTACGAAGAGCTCGTATCACGTGACTATTTACCGCCTTGGCAGTTTCAGCGAAACTAATTTCAAGATAGCTATCTACGTAGTGTTAATGCGTTCATTAAAGACGAATATGATCTCTATTGCATGCATGCAAGAATAACTATGAGCGCAAGTCCAAAAGTGGGGTGTCAGACTACTTCTTTTTGACAGACTTGATACGAATTTGTTCATTGCCAATAAAAACACCCTAACCATGCATCAGTCCCCTCTTTTCCTATATTTATAGTTGAAGATATGCTCACCTTGCCTTTGTATGGTTCGGGTGGACGCCATTTCCGTATGCGTGCAGCAAAAAGACCAAGCAAGTGCTTGTCCGTGCAAAAGAGCGTGATCTTCGTCGGAGAAGGCACAGTTGCTTTGATATGGGCAGGAATTGGCACGTAGACGTTATGAGAATGTCCCAGCTTCATATTGAGTCTCTGGCCATTGCCACCATTTGTCATTCCTCTCGGATCGTCCTCCAACTGCAGCTCTGTATCCAACACCCACAAGGTATATGGGAACAGTGAAACCCTCCGTCATTCCGACGACCGCGTTATTTATGAGCGTTCGTGTTAGACCCCACATTGACCGCTGCTTCTTTACCTCCGCGTCCTCTACGGCTATTGTCAGCACGTTCTCTTGCGGATACGCGAGCTTCATGTATGATTCCAGTGGGACGGACGTTGAGCCAAGAGGTCCCTTGACTTCGAGTGAAGTTTGAGATTGGGTGATGGTGACATTAGGTGGAATTGGGATGGGAGTTTTTCCAATGTGAGAAATGTGCACGCATGCACGAGCAGATAAGCTGAAGTGTCGTAGAGTCTTGCTCAACGCTGCCCGTGGTATCATAACTTCCGATTGTAACTTCGTTTTTTTGGAATCGTCTTTGGGTTTTGCGAACGTCGCCGCGGAGTCTATAATCATGCTCATATGCCTTATTTGGTAACGCTACGGGCAATATTCATTTAATAATACATTGTCACTAACTTCTATGTCAACGCTATCGGGTTATTTTGTGGTACATGTCCATTTAATTCCCATTGTCAAGCTCTGCATGTTGTCCCAGGCACGTGTGGTCCGTTGTGACACGTCAGAAGATGACAGCTTGGGTCATACGGAAGATAAGAGCAAGGTTTATCCTGGTCTGTCCGAGGAATTCTTGTCCCTTATCTCCAATATGCAGCGGTTATTATCATCGTGCTAGGTTCTCTCTATTTGAGGTGCGGTATCAATTTAGTATATATTCGGCAGAATGCACTCCAATCCTGCATTCGAGGTCTTCTCCCTCTCATTAAAATGGTTAGGACATAAAGATGACGGCATTGTCACCTGAGGCCATTAGTGTCAATAGCCAGGAATGACATCCCCCCTGTTCACCAAGAAGATAACATTACTGCTCCGGAAGCTCGGCTACAAGAGCGAGTTTAAACGGGAATTCTCGGTATCGCGATTTTTATTTTATTTGCGCAGACCTGACTTTGTGGCCCAGCTGTTAGAGACGATCTCATTCTCGATGGCTATCCTAGCTGTATCTTGTGGAATCACTACCGGATATTCCTATCCTTTACTTTCAGGTCGGTGATACCCGAGGGTATGTATGAAAGCAGGGAATTTACTTACTATATCTTAGGGGGCCATTTTGCCATGGTATGGGCATGGCCCATAGCGTGCATATTTGTCATGTGTGTTGCTGCGTCGATGGCAGAGCTCGCATTCTTCTATGCCGTAAGTCTTTCTGATTACCGTTGAATTATGTCCATGTAATGAATTACCTCCTGCGGTAGAACAAGCGCTGGGCTGTACTATTTCTCAGCGAAAATGGCTTCGAAGGAACACTCCGCTCTTGCGTCTTGGATAACCGGATGGAGTAACATCACAGGCCAAGTAACCTTGATTTGCTCCATTAACTTCAGTTGGTTCGTGTACACTTTCTGCTTTTATGGATGATAAATTTATGCATGCCTTGTAGCACGGAGCTCATCACCACAGCAATAGCAATGGGCACGGACGGCGCAGTGGTCTTGGGGTCAGGCGCGACATTTGGCATATTAATGGTCTCGTGACCAGTCCATCATTTTGCTCTCTTGCTAATACAGCATCCAATCCAGGCTATCCACCTCACACAATTGATTTTCTGCTCAGCTGGAACTCGTATTCTCGCCCGAATGACAGTCGTGATTATGGTACTCATCCGTGAGTCGCAGGAGTAGGCATCAAGTTGGTTTGGGCTCACAACGTACCACGCAGTGAGTACATCGATTGGGGCAATTGTCTCCTTGCTCGCTTGCGCCGGAAATCAGAGAGTCTCATCAGTGGATGCGTGGACAAAGTTCGAGAACAATACCGGATGGAGCAATAGTAAGTGTCTTATGTCTAATGTGTTGCGGTGCCTGACCATGTTCAGATGTCTGGGCTTTCATTCTCGCTTTTACATCACCAATGTGGTCATTGACAGGTTGTGAGTAGCGTAGCATGGCGATCGTATATTTCGAGAAGCACATACCTAACCATGTCTATCCAGATGACTCTGCTGCCCATATCGCTGAGGAAACCGCAGGAGCTGCACGTGCAGCACCTATTGCGATTTTGGTTGGGGTTGCCGCAACTGAGATCCTGGGCTGGCTTTATTACATCGCTGCCTCTTATGCTACCACCTCGGTTCCAGACATCCTGCAGTCGAAACTAGCGCTCCCTCTTGGCCAAGTATTTTTGAATGTCCTGGGGAAGAAAGGGTGCTCTGGCCCTCTGGTGCTCTATCGCAGTGTTGCAGGAAAGTGCGTTTATGATGAAGATCACGCTCAGATATCTAATTTCCCTAACAGTACCTTTGCGGATGTTCACAAGCGGTCGACGCCTCTCGCGTCATTTTCGCGTTTTCTCGGGACAATGCTCTTCCCTGGCTCGCGATGGTGGAAGCGCATCAACCGTACGACGCAGACTCCAGTGAATGCTGTATGGTTTGCGATGCTGCTCTCTGCCATTTGTGGGACATTGGTATTTTCCACGGCAGCGTTTAATTCATTGGCATCGTGCGTCGAACAACTTTTTCAAGTCATTATACTCATCGTTGCTTTGAAGAGCGTCTGTGATAGGTTTATATATCTCATATGTGACGCCCATATACTGTCGTGTTACCTGGGGGAAAGACAAACTACAGCCTGGCCCATTCACTCTCGGTTGGTGGTCTTTTCCGATTGGCTGGATAGGTATTGTCTGGGTAGTATTCATGGTCGTCATGCTACTCTTTCCATACACACAGACGGCCAGTGTGCAAACCATGAGTGAGTGCCATTTATAGCCACAAGACCTTGACTGATCACATGGTGTAGATTATTCAGTAGTGATCGTCATGGCCGTCTTTGTATTTGCCGGAGGATCGTGGATATTCTCCGCGAGACATTGGTTCACAGGACCCGTCTCGAACATCGACGTGCAGAGCGATTCATTATCGTATTCGGAGAAACATAACACGCAGCGAAATAGTTTTTAGACATAGGATATGTATTTAATAGACCTGGCCATATGGTTATTCGGCTGCGTCTCTACACCTGTGTTATCTATGATAACGATGCTCCAACGAAGTTCGGAGCAACGCAAATACCGTCCTTGGTACGGATCCTGTGAACTGATTTGGTTACCGGGTTGATCCACGCTGCCTCCCTTGTATTTAGCGTCGTGAATCCTGAGAAACCCAATCTATTAACATTCGAGATTCTGGAGAAAAGCAGTCTCCGCACCTGGTTGGAATTGTTTCGAATATCTTTTTCTTAGGGTTCATTTGAGCCAACGGCTGGGCGTCTGAATAAAGCAGTCTGAGTGCACATAGCCGAGATCTAGGAACATTTTCGCACTTTCGTAATCGGAGGCCTCAAAGTACACCCGTTCAGCCTGGCTTTGCAGCCTGGTGGAGGTTGGATAAGCTCGACGCCACCGTCCTTCCCATCTTTTGATGTTGCCTGGCCGACGTCAGATAGATGACACTATTATCCAATAAAATGAACCTACAGCTAGGACCATCGCAAAGCTCTTCACTCCACGCATGTTCGCAGGTTTCAAGTTGCACTATGTGGAAGGTCAACAATCTCGTTATGACATCGCGACGTTGACCTACAATGCAAACCAGGTACTTATCTCGCATTTCTTCGATAGGTATGTAGTTCACGAGACCAGAAACAACTGTTCGTGGACCAGTCTCCTCACCGAGGTCAATTTGCTGATGGAACATTTATTATAATCGATCTTTACTTTTGGGATAGCTTACCTCAATATATAAACTGTCAGCCTCGGGGTGTTTTTTCACTGTCAAAATTGTTGATGTGTTTTAAATTGTAAAGCAGAGACCAGCTCACCGTCAATAATGTGACCGATCCGCATATCAATCATTGAAGGCACAGGTTCACCGGCATCTTCAGCAACAGCCTTGCCACCAGCAGGAGCAGAAGCCTTCTCTTTTTTCTTGCCTCCGTTGTCCGCAGCGGCTGTGTCCTTCTTCTTTTCTTTCTTTTCCTTTGGTTTATCTTCAGGGTGATTTGTCCTCTTTTGATACCTGCTACAGCTGTCGGTTCAACCTGCTCCGCCACAGCTGCAGCCTTCTCCTTCTTCTTCGGTGCATCCACTTTCCTCTCAATTGGAAGGGGCAGACGCGAAGTCAAAGGAAACAGAAGAAAATGCTGGAGACAGTGCACTTGCCGCAGCAAGTACAGATGGTCGCGTTTGAATGTGGTCGAAGTAACGCGTGAACTGCAGGAGTAGAGTAGAGCTGAGCAGGTTGTAGCTGCGACTGAAATTTGGGCATAAGTTCTAGCAAAATTAGATACTGTAATGGTCACGAACAAAGACTGGGTGCAGCGCTCCATATAGAGCAACATCTGCTGCAGGTGAGGATAGTTGCTCACAATATATGTGCGAGGGACAAGTTGGGTCTCGAGATCCTGCGACAATACTGGCTCATCAGGCAATTTATACCAATTCCTTTATATGACTTACTGGAAGAGCGACCTCTCCTTCAGCAACTTTCTCAATCCACTGCGCTACTTCAGCCTTGTCAGCTTCAGTCTTTCCGACATCTGCTTGCGAAGTCGCAACGAGATCTTTCAGTGGGGAAGGGAGTTTGGATATAGAAGATTCGTAAGACATTGCTCGTGCCAAAGGATGGAGTCGCGCGATCAATCGCGTTGACAATCGATGAGGAATCAGAAGATGGAATGATCGAGTCAAAGTGTTCATTGACATCTACAAATTGCACGTGACTCGGCCAGTCGTATTTATGTGAGCGTAGATCATGGTTATTAAATAAAGCATTCATACTATTCATTCATCTGGACTTGTCACTGAGTGTCGCAGGTTTAGCCAGACCTTTAGACAATTCAGAATACCCAATACCCGTCTCCGAGTCTTAGACTCGGGGAATAAACAATTCACCAACCACCTGGTGGTTCAGTATTATCAGTCACAGGCTACGTGGTCTTGTTTTAGTAGTACGTGCCAGTTGGAACTTCGAAGATTTTCGTTAACATTTCAAAACTGATGACCACTTTAGTACTTTCGCCTGCAATATCATGATGACGCTTTCCTGTCCAAAAGTAACCTCAGACAATACTGCGCTAAACTCGAAAGCTCAAACAGAGATTGACGATGAACTTGAAGCCCTTGAAGAGAGAAAGCGAGCTCTTCGGACACGCCGAAACAGTCACTCTCCCATATCCTCCATCCCACCAGAGCTCCTTAGCACCATTTTCGTCTTTCATGTTCAGCAGACGCAGTCGCGTTATAGTCCTGACAATCCTGATGCTCTTTTATGGCTCATTATTGGACGCATTTGTCGTCATTGGCGCGAGATTGCTCTCGGGACGCCAGAGTTGTGGGCCACTCCGTTTCTCAACTCTTCAAAGGCCACGGATGAAATGCTCACGAGGATCCAAAATGGCTCCGTTGAACTTGAAAATTGGCCGGCGATATCGTATGGACTGCATCCAAACGGCGTTGATGCACATGGAGCGTTTGGAAGTGGTCTCTCTTCTGTTCTTGCATGGTGATACTGCGGGGTGCCGTTGTATCATGGAATTTATTAACAAGCTATCATCTTGCTCCGCTCCCAAACTACGATCGCTCGCTTTGGAAGTAGGGAATAGACAAACACCACGGATAGCAATCCCGATTTATTTCCCCGCACCCAACCTTTGCGACCTCCGAATCAAGCACTGTGATCTGTCATGGGCATCTTCCGTCCTCACAGGACTCACTGTCCTTGACATCAAAAAAATATCACCGGAATGCCTTCCGACATTAGACGAGTTGATCTCTGCGCTCCGTCGTATGCCTGCTCTGCACACTCTTGTATTAGAAGATGCTCTCCCGACCCTTTCCCCCCATACGGCGTCACTCCCTCGTGCACCCCATGCCATGAATGTTCAACTCTTCCACTTGAAGCACCTGCGTTTGACGGCAACAATGTTGGAAGTGGCCAACGTGCTAACTTGCATTGAATCGACAACATCGGAAGTTCAACTGGTATGCCGAGCATCGTCGAGAATCCGAACCAAGAATGGGATTTAAGCCTTCCCATCATCTCTCGTGCCTTGGAAAGTTGCTTCAAAGGTCCTCCAGATAAGTCTCGACAAGCCCCTCGTTCCATGCAAGTGTCTTCCACTAGTGGTTGCGTTCGCTTTGCGTTATAGCACGGTCCGGAACCCTTCTTCGTGGGCAACGACAACGTCTTGTCTGGATTTGTCGGCGGAGTACCCTATCATTCTTGACTTTGACTTTCCCATTGACATGACGAGAACAATCCTCAGCGATTTGGGGAGGATCGTTCCTCTTGGGAGTATCGAGGCCATGTACTTCGGCTGTTTCTTCGCTTGTTGGGATGGCTTCTGGGCTGATGTTCTTACCCGTGGCGGTGCTCGTAATCTTGCATACATGCACTTGCGAGGTCCATTCGAGGTTCTCGAAGAACTTCTTAAATCCCTGCGTTCACGGAAGCACAGTGTATCGCGGTCCGTAGGCGGGCGTTCACAACAAGGGCCCATTTTCTCCCCAGCACTCTCCCACCTTGTCCTTCACAGATTGGAGTTTGACTCCTCCATCTTCAACTGGATGCGACCTTCCGACCTCCTTGATGTGCTCATTGATCGCGTCAACGAAGGTCGAGGGTTAGACCACCTTGCGATTACTTTAACTTCGGGTATATTCGCCCGTGATGTGCAGTTGTTGCGAGAGGTGGTGGCTGATGTGAGCTGGGATGGATATGCAAGTGACGAGGAATACCTCACTGACTATATGGAAGAAGATGATGATGATGACGACGATGATTTCATGGATTACGAGTTCTACAGTGATGGATATGCCTCCTGAAATGACTCTGTTGGGTAAGCACGCCAATCTAATTAAGTATATTGGCTGCATACCGAGCCTCAGGCCTCAGGGTTTCTGCGGAAGGTGCAGATCTAGCGGTCACTCGAGCAAAACAAACCGGGATGCGATAAAATTCGAGGGCAAGATAAACAGCCTATCCTATGTCAAGCTTTGACTTACGGAAATGATCATCACTAGTCATACTTCCCTTTACCATCTAATGCGAAATTGTTACCAACTTTCCTGAGCAAAAATTCGCCATATACAACAGATTTGTAAGTCTGTCCTCCGTTTGAAGACGAGTCTTTGTCTTGAGAAAGCAAAAGACACAGAGCTGCTCGAAGTGGGGCAACATTCGCGGTGAAGTTGGGCTCGAAGAAAAACGGTATCCTATCAATATATCAGTAAACGAATATATCGCAGAAAACGGCAGGTTCGCACGAGACACTACGCAAATGGATTAGAGATAGCTCAACAAAGCGCTGCGCAACACCTACCGGTAGCTCGATCCTCTGTGGACCACTCTGTGCAACGTACTTTTGTACAACCCATTTGTCCAGATCTCCCACACTGAGTGGTTTACATTAGCTAGTGAAGACGCCTGAAACACCAGCAACATACTCTCGCCGATATTACAAACGACGCAATTGGGAATAGGATCCGCGTTTATCCATATGCCTTCTTCTGTACCGTGCTCTGCTGGCAGGCCGTCTGAACCTGATGCTGTCGCACCTGATTGTCGCGAGAACACTTGCAGAGCACCTCGAGTAGGATCGGCATATAGGAAGCTTGGGGAATCGACGTCAGGGATATCGCTCTGAGCTTTTCACTCGTGGCTTACGTTAGGCAGCCGTAGTCTCTATTCATGTATCTGCATCAGCATATCTAGATATCAGAAAACAAAAAAGATCACTTGTGTGCTCCGCAGGAGAAGCCATCGTCGTCAGTTGGAAGTGGAGGATAGCCTTTCATATAGCTAAGCAGGGCCAATGTTTATGAACTTCAGCCAAATGATGCTCACCGATAGTTCGCATTACCCAGAAACTATCATCAACTTGAGCTCGCAACTCCATCCATTCTTCTGTTGTCATCTTGAGTCCAACAGACATCCTATGAGAGTACATGTCGGTAAGAAAATACCATGGATTTACCACAAGAACGTACGCCTCCATAACAATGAGCCCAAGCTTCTTCATCTTCTCAATCCATTGCTCGTATTTATACTTGAATCCAGGGATATCAGGCCATTGATTCTCCCCCCACACTGGTTTGGATCTGTCTGGTTTCTCAACAGGCTTGTAAAAATCGATTCCTTCGTGGTTATCCGCCTTGCCGTTAGTCACATTCTGCTTGAGCCTTTGATATCCTTGATAAGAAGTTCAAGATTTTAGTTCGGAGACTGCTTAAACTGAGACATACCTCTAGCATTATCCTGGTGCTCTAGACTAATCTTATCCTTCTCCTCCTGTGGCAGTGCGAAGAACTCTCGGGCTAGCCGGGTCAACTCCTCAGGTTCTGAGGGATCTATGAACTGCGAAATGTCTAGATAGAAGAACCCGTACTCGACACAGGCATTGTGTAGCGCTTCTGATGTGGACTGGCATTTCGTCGGATCACGTTCAGCCTCGAGGTAAGGCGCAATGTCGATGATTGGGAGGCTTGCTGAAGCGTGTGTCATTGAGCTAATAGCCTTACAGTACTTTGAACACAAGTTTTCAAGTTGTTCAATGAAGGTTCGAGTTAAGATAGGGTCGAATGTGAATGGCTGTGCCAAAAGGTCCGTTGAAGATAAGATAAGGTTACAGTAATAACACGGGTAAATCTAAGTAGGACGATCTACTTGTTATGACTGCGTCGAAGAAATATACTAGCCAATAGGAATAATGCATGCCATTTCAGCACATGCTACTGATAGGATCCATTTTCTGGACGTGATTGCTGTGAGTAGATAGTACGCCCGGGATTCTGATTAGCAATTCCTCGACCAAACCCTCCACGTGAATCTTGCAGAAAGCCGCTCGCGGGGCCAGTGTATTGGCCAGGCCAGTTGGGTGCAAACTCGTGGGGTGACCGTGCTGTGTCCCGGAGGCCTGAGGTTGGATGCCTCGGAGATGAACCCGCCTGATATACACCTGTTTCATTGCCTACGTCACTTGACGCGTGCTCTTCTGGCCCGGCATAACGATCCTCGTCCACGACTCTCGTGCTCCGGCTTCTTGATACAATACCATCCATCCCGTCCTCGGTCCGTCTATGCTCTCTCCTAGAATTTCCATTTGCACTTGCATTCGACGTTTCTTTGCCATTAGCGACTGACGGCCTTGGCTTGGCTTTTGATTTCCCATTCAACTGGGGTGCTGATACTGCAATGAAAGGAGGTGACTGTCGGTGGGCGGTGGACATCGCTGGATTGGCTTCCAAGTCTTCCTTCTCTTTCATTGCCCGTCTGTCAAGCGCCTCTGCTAAGGATATTGGTTCAGGTATAGTGTCTGGAATAATATGTTAGACGGCACGAGACAGATAAATGGCGTACAAACCTTGCAAGAACATGAACTCTTGATATTGTTGGGTGGAGCACGCTGACGGGAGTTGTAGTCAAAAGTTAAAAAATACACTTTCACTCACCTAAATCTGAGTAATTTACGGTCCCTCGACGCTTTGCAGCCGCCTGTCGGTGGCCAGCTTGCGCCATTCGTTTTAAAAATTCCTCCTGCAAGTGAAAATGCAACGTTCAGATGTACTGCAAAACCGCCAAACGAGTTCCCTCACCGTTGCAACCGACAAAACGAACAGCGCTTCCTTCGACATCGTAATGCTGGCTGAAAAGTTGCTTAACGCGAGTTCTGATTAAGATATTTTGTTTAACGCACTGTCCGGCTGAACTATGTTCTCTACTTTGGAAGGAGGGAGCAGAGTTGTCCCGGGAACACGTTCCCCAAGCCGTCGTCCGCTCTTCTTCTGGTGAGCGGAGGCGCTTGCGGCGAGTTCATCTTCGGGATCTGTGTCGGACTCCAGTTCATCCACCTCTGCTTCATTTTCGGAGTCCGTAGGTAGATCATAGACGCTAACGTTTGGATTTGGACCGCTCAGCTCAGAGGACTGCCCATAGGGTTGTAAGGCAGAGGCGTGGGCAACCATGGAACTGGAGGGAGTAGCGTAATATGCTGCCATCTCCGGGAGGACTAGTGAAATTTGGTTCGGAGTAGTCCCAGTGCAGCGTTGTTTGTAGCTGACTGCTTCGGGTGCAGAGCGGAGGAAGAACAGACACTTTGCACATGCCCAACATGTGGGCGCCACCGGCGTGACAACTTGAACTACAAGGGCTAGCTACAACTTACATATTCCTCCTCAAGTGCTCTCACCCGACCACCGATCGATTTACTTCAACAACCACCTAGAAAGCTGGAGCACTGGTACAAGTTCGAGTCATCTAGTGTAGTTTCCATGGAATTGGGGTCCTCAAACACGGTACGCGTCAGAAGCTTTAATTTCATTCAAGTGTTGAAGTGGGTTACAGGGGCCTGCGTCATTGCCCTTATGCCTTATCGCATGAATGAAAGGTACGCAGTGTCCACAACGTAGAATCTTCCACCCGCATGCATCTCACGTGGTTCTCGCGTGCCATGCTTGAGGGTGCAAACTTCCAGCATGCCTTCTGGAGGCCGACTATACTAACTTTGTTCCTGGAACACTATCCCGCTCCATCTTGTCCCGCCTGCTCCATCATTTGTTAGCGTCGTGCATCATGCAGTATGAATATCTGCCACAACTTAGTCGACGTCATCTATATACCCGCAAATAGGTGCTCTCCTTATTCTTCTCCGCGTCTTCCATGTGCTTTTTCTTGCTCGCTACCTACTCGACATCTGTGGGATCATCTAGAGGTAAGAGCTTACATTTCTCCAGTGACTACACACCTAATTGGATAGCTAGTATTATAGCGACACTTGCTTGTGATTCAGACCTATGTTCTCCGCCGCGGAGCTTACTGTCAGACCACTATATAGTGCCACTAGATTGATAAAATATATCTGAATATTTGAAGACGTACTGAGTGCCGTCATTGGAGCCACGGATTAGCGACGTTTTCGAATATTAAGAGTATGTCAGGAATGGTCTTTCAGTGCTAGTTGAGCTCACTTTCGAATATCACAGTGCTTTGACATTAATGTTCGATGATGCTTTGTTGTCCAACTGATCTAATCTGTGTCTTCTGCAACTCGCTATTCATACAAGTTGAGTTCACCTGCTCCGAAGACCCCAAAACTTCTATTGACTGTCGGAAGTTTTGTGGAGCTAGCTCAACGCAAGGTGTCAGCTCAGTCTTTGACATTATTTTCGAAGTTCCTTCTGTTGGCACTTTGGGCCGCCACCTTGCGAAGCAAGTTATATATAGCTTTCGATGGTAGGCAATACCTCCTACTCAAACTGTTTTCCCCTTAGTAAGAAACCTCGCAGGAAGATACGCGGTGGTTTCGGTATATCTTCCGCATTCACAGCATATAATCTTATGATGTGTAACAGAATGGTTAGGAGTGAGTAGAAGCAAACTTGAATAGAATCTTCTTTTCCTCTCACGAGATGAGCCGTGCAGCGGCAATCACTTATAGTGTATAGTCTGATGCACAAGTATGCAATGAATATTCTACTGTGGTGAGAAGGAATGTTGCAGTTGTCCGACGTAGTGACTCGGATGGTCTAGGATATGGCAGCCCGTCCGTTCAACTTCCGGTGAAACTCAATCTGCTCGAAGGTATGTTACATATCGAATCAAGCAATGTCAAGGTCAAGTGGGTGTGCACTGTGCATGACATTTCTTAAGTGAGCTCAAGCTGCGCTTCTACTGTAATTTCATAAGAGCACAAGCCTCTAATGGACTTTGTGATGGAAATTCGCTGAACCTCACCCCAGCTGTAGGTGAGGAGCGTGGATTTTTAGTTGTAGGCTGGAGAACGTGGTCAACTCTCTACTGCAGAACCGTTGAACTTGTTAATAACACTAGCTTTGGAGGTTGGCACAACCAAGCTGCAGGTATGGCTCGTTGACCACATATAACCATCCAACTGCCTGACTGTCAGGGTTATTCAGAGGAGGTGCACTGTAGGCTCAGGTAATACGGGACACAAATTACAGTTAAATGCGAGTGAACTAGCTGTTATGATGCTATGTTACATTGTGTAAAGGCTAGAGGGAGTCAGGACTAAACTCCGTAAGTACGAGTGTATAGTACAAGCTACAACAGAATAACGTACCTCAGCAACAAACGCTGAGGCAATACGAGCGAACCACTACTAATACATTGCATAATTGTGTGGCTGGGTGACGAAGGAGGATGTACAGGTGAACAACTATACTTTACGACAAAGCAAGAAGATAGGTAGTAGGAACGCTAAATTGTCAATGGGCTGTGAAAAAATCACTCAAGGGGAACCTTAATGCTCTCTTGATCCTCAGCCTTTGGGACGGCCATAGTGAGGATACCATCCTGGAGCTTGGCGGACACTTTGGAGCTGTCAACGGGACGAGGCAGCCAGACGGTGCGAACGAAAGCCGCGCTGCCCGAATATTGGCGCTCCATCGCAAGTTGTGTGCCTGACTCGGTCTTTGCCACAATTTTGGAACCTGAGAGGATGCGTCAATCATAACTCGGTCTGTGGAGGAAATTCACTAGCCCTCAGCTGATTTCTCGCTGGTCGTTTCCGCAGTAGTGTTTGATTCGCCATTGGTTTGGCGAGAGGGAAGCTTTACCTTGGATGGTGACACTACGACCAGCATCACCTATCCTGATGTCAACGTTCTCTTTTTTAACACCAGGAAGGTCAGCTTCTATTATGTATTTGTCTCCTTCCTCTGTCACATCAACTGGAGGACGTATAGTAGCAGGAAACGGGAAGAAGGGGTCGTCAAAAAGGGTGCGCTGTTGGTACATGGGTGCTACAGAGGACCTGCCGAAGGGCTCCTCCAGCATCCGGAAGAAAGGACGGATCTCGTGTAGAAGTTGTCGAGCGATGGACATGATGGTGTTCAAGCAAAATGACCTCATGTTCGGCGACGTATACATCGGAACTTCGGCAAAATTCAAAAAGTTCGCGTCATAGGTTGCGGGACGAGTGTCTGGGGTCCTCAACGCATTGCTGCAAAGTCAGACTAAACCCGGTCTCTGTTGATCTGCTTAGGAACATCGTGGACCTTCGAGAAAATATAGTAAATAGAGATACTTAATGCCACGACATGTGATATAGTCATGATAGTCGTCCGGGCCACTCAACAACCCACTGTGCAGCGACAGAATGCTCTTGGTCATCATCATCTTCAAACTTGAGCTTGTATGTGGCAATGGTCTTTGTGGACATACCCTAAGTTGAATTGAGCCACGTAAACGCAGTGATTTTAAAAGTTTGTCTCTTACGCGTCCTGACACGTCTTTCGGGGAGGATATAACCTCAGCTCTGTAAAAGCAGCTCGTGTCTGGATAAAGCGCCATGACTGTCGAACCAGCAGGGAATTCCTGATAAGCATTCAAATGCGCAGCACTTGATGAAGGGGCATTCGGATCCGGTAGTGGTATAATGGCTCGAAGGGTTGTGTTATAGCATCTGAGAATGATGTTTGAAATTGAATGGTTTGTTCCGTATGATAAAAATGGAGAATGAAAACTTACTGTCCAGGCTGTCCGTCTTCTTGAGGTTCAACATCTTGCACTTCATATCTGATAAAGAATAAGGTTCAGAAGAATATCCCCTAAAATGAGCCCCACCGGTTCTTATCCTGATTGATACACTTTGTGATAACGGCCAAGATCCATGTGTTTTCATCGGCGTCAGCCGTACTACCGTCAGCTGTCTTTCCCACAGGTGGGTGGAACGCGACTTTTCGCCCTTCTTGTAATGGCAGCTGCTTCGCAAGAGCTTCTCTGCGAGCCTTTGGCTCTCTCGAAAATGGGATAGCAGGAGAAGGGCCCATCGAGCTCCGCGAAGATGTTGCTTGAGTTGTCATCGGCCGTGCGGCAGACATCAGGGGTGGCGTAACCGACGAAGCTGTGGCAGTAGGTGATGGAGGCCTTGGGCGCTTGTTTCGTTTCTCTGAATAAATGTACTTGACTGAGCAAGTATCTAAAAATTGGGGGGAAATCACAATATTACCTTGTGAGGGTAATTCTGGTGCTTGTCGAAGGGCTATCAAAACGTCGAGTTTTTCGAGAACACTGTCAATAGCCCTGGAAAAGATATGTGATACTTTATGGAGAGGCTGAGAGGTCAGCGTACTTGACTTCCTCATTGTTAATCTGTTGAACTCCTTTCAAGGCTGCAGACAACCGTTTGTAATTGGTTTTCAAGTTATCAAATCCTTCAGCTGGAAGGACGTCATCGGTCGGCCACGCGGAGATCAATCTGTTAACACGCCCGATAGTTTCGAGGCTGCTAGGGTTGGCATAAATATTGGAGAGTGATGCCAATGACTTAGATGCATGCGACCAGTAATCTACCTCTGATATTAAGTGAGCGGTCCGCACTGTTTGAGTTGTCTGAGGACAATGAACTGGGCGTGAGAACATACCTTCCGTGGATGCAGGTCGCAGTGATACACGCCTTCTATCCATTTTCGCTGACTTTAGCTATATGAGGCGCAGAAAATAGTTGTTAGCGAGTATTTCTAAGTGGGTTTATGTAGCGTACGAAGTGGAACGAAAGGCTGTGGAAACGTGTGGCCTGAAGATTTGAATACAAACAGGTGTCGCGGAGTTCACTCCTAGCAATGACCGAGGGCCCCTGCCACCTCGTCATCACATCAACTTCGAATCTTTGAAAGTGGGTTCGCCGTTGATGGGCCCGGGGACGCGTGTCAAGTCATCTACTAGTACATTTTCTACTGGAGTATCCAATATTGATATTGCAAACAGAAAGCTGTACATTGCAATTTTACTTGATGTTTTAGATTTGACGTCCTCCCTGTGGGGGAGGTGCCAACTTCCGGAGCGAGACGTCGTATACCACTGAATAAAAGGTAGTCAAAGACTGTGGCATACAGCCCGCACGCAGTGTGAGCCCACCTTCTTCGATTTTCTTGAGATCATATTTCAGACTATCAAAACGTCGCCGGAGCGTGTCATTCTTTAGATTCAGCTGCACACCATCAAATTCATTCGAGCTAATTCCAGTTATACACTTGAAACTAACCATCGAAAATCCGGCGAATAGATCCTTCACAAAGATAGATATCTGAATAGGTGCTTCAAAGTTTCCAAGGGTCACTGCGTTTACAGCGAGACGAGACTATACAGAATAATGATGAGCGAGTTGAACGTGTCGCGGAAGCAAAAAATCTCCAAAGTTATCAGAGAAGGCTGTTGCAAGACGACAACAACAACAGAATGCATTCAGTCTAATATTATCCGACTTACCAACTCGTTGACAAGGCTTATCAGACCATGAAGATAATCTTCGACGGGCAGTGCAAATCGGCCCTTCCATTCATCTTTGACTGGAGTCCGGGACAGAATAGTTACTATGTACACGCCGCAGATAGGAAAACAATGCTTACTTCCTAGAATCTGGCAGACTTCTGGCAGGGAAATGAGTTTCCCTGTTGCAAGAAATTCGACCAGGGCAGCTGAAAAGATGGCAGTGCGCAAAGAGTTGGTCCACATTTCCTTCCATCGCCAGAACTGGCTGGGAGGGATAAGTGCAGCCATCGCGGCATTGGTGGTCTGACAACTGTGCAACATTGGGCGCACACTATCAAGGAGGCCTGGAACTAAGATAGGCATCGGCAATCAGCCGAAAGACTTAGCAATGGCACAACTTGACTCGGGAGGTGTCGAATGGATCTTATTGAGAACCCCGACCATGTTGCGAGTCTTCTTATCCAGATCCGTCACTTGCTCCTTGATTTTCTAGAAGGGGGAAGTTTTGGAGGTCAGCGGTGATCAGCGACTTCCCATATTATTATAAATATTAATGCGCACCTCTCGCAGTTCTACATCCTGCTCCAAGAGTTCGTTAAGACGTTCTACATCACAAGAATCCATATGTTGTGATGATGAGGCGCCTGCTAGTTATTGTACTGAGAAGACCTTCACTGGGTGAGATGCATTAGAATTCAGCGAGCCACCACAAATACACAGCGCTCGTGACCGCTTTTGGTCGCTGCTTAAACATTATCCACTATCAACCTGAACGTTGAACTTCGTTCATGACCTCCGATGTCAAACTCTCGAAAGTCAAGACGCTACTTACTTCAGTTCGCGACACGCCCGTGAATACGGCGGACGGAGCAGATGATATTCTTCAGCCGATATTTTCATATTTGATGGATATTCCACCATCCGCATCTGATAATACCTACCACTGGTTTTGCAGTCGCGCTGACCAGCTCACCATCGGCGCTGCTACATTTCTACTAAGGCTCTTTGCGTACGACAGTCCCAGAGTGGATGATTGGAAAAGAAGGTTGAAGTCTTGTCTCTCAGGATGCTGTCAGTGTATCAGAGGGTTTGGGGAAGTCAAGGCTAGCTCGCGGACAACGTGAGTGTCTCAACGAGACAGTCCTTAGAATGTGTGTTTTCAACTGACCACCCTGCAGTTATTTTGGCGCATTCTCTGATGATGTACTCGGATCATTCTATAGCAAGTTCGATGACTGGGAACTATCAGTGGTCGTAGAGGCCCTCGTACGCTTCGGAATAGACTTGTCCAGCTCTAGATTGGCTTCCCGGATACCTCAAGAAGTGCCGCAACCTGTGTTGTACCACATGGTCTCAAATATGCGCGTCTTTCGCGACCCTCGGGTTTTGCCCTTGATTCGTGCATGCCCGCCCATTTCAACCTGGCCACTGGATCCGCCTCCACCTGGTTTGTTTGTACTCGTAATGGACGAATCCTCTTCCGTTAGACAGTGGGCGAAGGCGCAAATTATCAAAAGCACCCAGGTCCCAATGTTAGAACACCAGTTTGTTGCTGGACATGAATTGGCGCTCCAGGAGGTCATCAGTGTTTTGACGCTGTCTCGCGAAGGCGAAGCAACGATGACGGACAGTGTCATGCTGAACTCGTTCTCCTCCGACTCGAGCGAACTTTGGGCCGGATTCAGCCAAATTCTACGACATCTTCCAACAGAAGTCCTTGCAAAATCATCTAAAGGAATTGGATATCGAAGAATTGTAACAGGCCATCTACATGATATTGGTCGACGTGAGTTTATTTCGTTCGTTGCATTGATTGTCCAATAAATATGGAATCAGAGTTTTCTGACATCCTAAAGTGTCTACTCTTCTTGCTTAAGCGTTTAGGGCAGTCAGTTATGGCAAGGCGAGGGTCTAGAATATCCCCAGGTCGTTTTCGATGCAATCAAGGACAATCCTTCCTTCAGCGACATGCTGCAAGATCTCAAATCGGCAGGCGAGAAACCATGGTTCTTGTTGTGGTTTGGGGAGTATCTTGCAACAATATCCGACTCAGCCATATATAGGGACGTTCTAGCAAGAATCGTGGATTTTCTTTGTGAGGAATTACAACATGAGCGGTTTCAGGAAGCACGTCCAGCAGTCATGTATTCCGCTATCCGAGTCAGTGCCTTCACCTTCCTATCTGACATTATACTGAATGTTCCTAGTTATTAGCCTCACAGGTGCGAAAAACTCAGTCGGACGAGACGTCGTCACGTCGCATGGCAGTTTCAAGTGTACTCGACATTCATGCGGAGGTCTTCATCTCGGTGGCTTTTGGTCGCTCGTACGCAACTTCGCAGTGGAAAGAAGTTCGCAGTGCTGCTCGTGAGCTCATCACGACGTCTTTGACTCAGGACGCCAATGAAATTTCCAAATCTATCACAACCTCCTGCGAGTTCTTGGCAGGACGCACGAAGATGTTCCCCGTCTGTGCTATTAGAGAACAAATGTGGAAGAAGACATACGAATCTCTACAGACAAATGACACAGATGGTGTTGTCGCCATCATTGCAATTGTCGCCCAGTTATCTCACATCGACTTCTTGAATAAAGTCGCGTACAGACGTATTCTTTCGAGCCCAGATGCCCAGGCATTTGATGCCATCAATCGATGCCTCAATATTTCTCGAAGCGGATTTCTTGATGTAGTATCCAAGCTGGCGAACTACAACCAGAGGTCATTCGTTCTTGATGTCTTGGGTCAACCTGGAGTCGCACGTGATGTCATGGTCTTGATGCTGTCTCCCATTGAAGACCTCCAAGGCGCTGCGAAGACACTTGTTGGCCAAGCATTTGATGTCGACGTCCGGATTGATTGCTTCCGTGCCCTTCTTTCCAATCTCTCAGACTCTTCGTTTGAGGGCATTTTCAGCTTTCTGGAACGATACATTCACTACGCGCCACAGGTACCGGAGGCCTGCAGCCTTTCCAAATCACTAGTGCAGTGTCTCACCGACGTCATCGAGGTCTTATGCTCTAGTCCAGACGGACTGTTGCACGACGGCTCATTCCTGCACTCAAAAGACAAAGAAGCGCCTGCAGCGCAAATACCTCGACTGTGGAACTTGATGACACGGTCCATTACCGTGATATTCAAACGCACGCCTCTCTGGTCAGAGTACTTTGAAATTCCAGACATGACAGTCTGGATGCGAGATGCGCTCATATTCGGGAGAGATCTGCTGGCACAGTGGAGAGTAATGGAGTTTGCCAGCGTCACCGCCACGGATGAATCATCTTCATTATTAACAGGCAAAGTTCGAAAACTTTCTCGGATGGGGAAGAACATGATGAACGACCTGCAGCCAGTGCTTGCAGAGCTTACACGGTGGCTGCGGCTTTCTGATGAAGAGCTTCTCCATCAATCCTTTGCGCTGCTTCAGACGGTTCTCGAATGCTTCCGGACAACTAATGTTCCTCCTTCGGAGGCTACCCTTGCCAAGCTGAACAAGCACGTCGAGGCTTCCCGCAATGATAAATCCGGCACTTCAAAGACCAAACTTGACGCAAGTCGAATAGCCCAGCTAGAAGACGCGCTGACTTCATTCGAGGACGTTGAAGTCGTTTCCGTTGTTCGTGCGCCGCAGACTCAACCTGCCAAACCCCACAAACCCCCACCACAGAAGGCCCAGGCGGCAGCACGAAAGCAAAGTGATGTCGTCCCTCGTAAACCTGCTGAGAGTGACCAACTCAAGCCCGACGTTATGAAGGGCGCCTTTCCCAAGTTCCAGCGGTTATCAACAAGTACGTCGACGACCGTCAGTAAACCACCGACTCTCCCCTCAGCTCCCACATCAGAATATTCCAGTGATTCTGAATCTGAGGCTGAAGCCGAGCAGGGCGGTCTGGTCGCCTTGGGTAAATTCCAGCGGTCACCAAAAGTCAAGAAGCCCGTGGAAAGACGCCAAGTGAAGTTGCTGGACATTCAAAACCAAGCCAAGAGTGCGACTATGGAGCGTCTCCACCGTCGAGAAGATGCTCGTCGTCGGGCATTGCGTTTGAAACCAGACACCACCGGACTGCATCGCACCCTCCTATCTTGGAATTACGACCACGATGGTCCTGACCCTCCCACCGTTGGCCAAAAAGCATCATTGATTCATGTTCCCGACACCTTCCAGGACTATCAGCACTATCTCCGAGTTTTTGAGCCCCTGTTACTCCTAGAATGTTGGTCGCAAATTGTTAAATCCAAAGATGATATACAAGAAGTGTATGATTGTAGAATCACCTCCAAGCAGTTCACCGATGATTT